ATGGGGGCAGGCTGCACCATGGAGACAGTGCTGGGGGGAGGGGGAAATGCCTTTTAAGCCAGCTCCCCCCAGCACCAGCTTCTGTTCCCCCGCCCCTTGCTGCTTCTCATACAGAGGCAGCAAGGGGGCGTGGGAAAACCTGATTCGACTACTCGCTTACAGTCCAGAGAAGCGCTGAGCATCTGCAGCACTTGGCTGAGCACACTTACTACATGTAAGGAGGCGGAGAGCTTCTCAATGAAAGGGTAGAGATTCTGAGCAGCCTTCCAGCCATCTTGGAAGAAACTGAGAGCAAGAGAGAAAAACGGTGATCACACGAGGCCAGGTCCTTCACCACCAGCTCCCAAAAGCTACTGTCAACACCTCGGAGTTCCTGCCACGCTGGGCCTCTCGGCCAGCACACGCCAAGAGTGCCAGGGCCACACCAGGGCTCCCGAAGAGCCACAGCCACACGGCCGGATGATGTGGAGGGGAGGGGGCTTAGAACGCAGATCCCACCTCCAACTCCAGAGGCCACACTCACGTTGTGCCTCTACACCAGTGTTTCCCAATTTTATTTGCCCACGGAACCCTTTTCAGCTTAAAAGAATTTCAAGGAATCCCAAGGGTTGCCAGCTAAAATTTGTCAAAAAAAAAAAAAAAAAAAAAAAAAAAAACCAGAAAAATAGACTGTCTCTTTAAGAGGGGGTGGGAGGTTCCAGAACATCAATTGGGAAACACTGCTCTAGACCCTGTGCTTAAAGCAGCAGGGGTACCAGCTTGTGATGCGGCCCACGTGCTTCCGGGGGCAGAATGGGCCACTGGGCAGGTCAGACTGCTCCCCTGAAGTAGATCACCAGCTCCGAAGGGTGGGATGGGCTTGGGGCTGAGGCTGAACCTCTCACCTCTAATCGTTCAGGGCTTCATCCCACTGCAAAACGTATAGGATCAAACACCAAATAATTCTGGAGCGGCCCCACCGCGGTCCAGACTCTGGCCCAGATCTGAACGCTTCCAGACATAGGGCTGTTTGAAATCCCAGCCTGGATGCAAGTTTGATGATGCAGGCTTGTCTCCTCTGTTGTTCTGAAGCAGCCTCCACTAGACCTTGGGGCACCGTCTAGAGGCCAGCTGCTCTGGAGTCTACTCCTAGCTCTGTGTCTGAACGACTTGTGGTCACTCACTACACCTCAGTTCCCCTAGATGTAAAACACTTAATCTACTATAGATCTGAGAGAGAGTTTGCCTGTCTGGCCAAGGACTCCTCCTACACGAGCTAGGACCACCAAATTCAGTATACAGCTTCCTCTTATCACAACTTCAAGTAACGTAAGGGTTTGCTTGTGCCAGGAAAATGGGATGTGCCGGGAATGGGATTGGGCTGTATCTGCTCTATGATGGGGTCACAGGAGGGGGCACCTCCCACAGCACCAACCTGGAGCTCACCCATAGCTGCTGCTGCCAGGGACAGGTGGTCCCTCCGTGGCCCCCAGTTGTGGGGTGTGTGTGTGTGTGTGTGTGTGTTCCTCCTCTTGAGGTGTTTTAGCAGGTTGTATGTCCCCCCTTCCCCCCCCGGCCTTTGGGGTCCTGCATTTTACTTTATAGATATTTATTTATTCGGTTTTAAAACATGCGGTAAGCCACCTCGAATATTTTTAAAGTAGAGAGGAGGAGTAAAAATGTTTTAAATAACTAAATAAAATAACTAATCTGGACCTGCCCCAGTCAGGGGACGTGCACCCCTCCCCAGGCTGTGCCCACTGGACCTGCAGCAGTCAGGGGACGTGCACCCCTCCCCATCCCCGAGCTGTTGCGGTGAGAGATGGGTGGGGATGTCCTTTCTTTCTAACACAGCCTGGTACTTCAATCCACACCCCGGCCTTTTCAGTTTATTTTTCAAAAAACAAAAAAGTTAAGGACCCAAGCAACACCGGGTAAATTTTCTAGTAATAAAATATGACACAGTAATTGCTACTAGGGTAATTTCTCTCCATGGCGAGGGGTTGCTTTAGTAATGATCTAATCACACAAAACCCTAACCACTCACTGGACTCCTGGTCGGTAAAGTGCCCTTTTCTGCAGCCCTTAAGCACGTGAGCTTAACATCTTTCATACTCAGCAAACATGGAACGTGGCTGGCATGGGGCTGCTGAACTCCATGCAGACTCAATGCTCTCTGGCCAACCTGAGAGCTACTGGGAATTAAAGCAAATGCGGGCAAGGTGGCAAGTCTAGAGTTCTTCTCCAGGAAGTGACATCGCCAGCTCACAGGATGTGCTGCGTGGGGCGGTACCTACTTATGCTGTGCATGGAAAAACTTGATCAGGCTCTGCAGGAAGTCTGGACCTTGCTTCATCTGACTCTCGTTCGCTTTCAGCAGATACTAGAGAAGGAGGAGAAACACCGAGTTAGGATGTCGTTGAGGGGGGACTCAAACGTTGGACTGGCTCAGAGGAAAGGACTGGAAGAGGCCAGACTTTTCAGAAGTCCAAGCCTTCGTGTTGCCGTACGGCCAGTTCTTTAGTGATCAGATTCAGGTCTGGAAATGCCTCTAGATGCACATGGGCTGCAAATCCAGATGTGCATGTGAACTTACCCCCAGGTCTAGAGCGGTTTGCGCCAGGTCCCATCTCTGCTGGAAACTCTCTGAGGACCAGATGAAAGAGTGGCCGGTTAAACTGGGCTTTGCCCAGCTGGATCGCTTTCTCAGGCAGTGGCACAGCGAATGCGGTCACAATCATTTTACAGAGCAGTTCAGGGGGACTCGGCTACAGCTGCCTCTAAAGCCTGGTCACAGCCACAAAAATGGGTTGTGTTTCGCTAACACGGGTGAAATAAGCCCAGCCAGCACAGGAGTATTTTTCCCAATGCAGCATTAACACATTTAACTCAATTTTAGCAGGTCTAGTTATAACCTCTCTCTCTTACGGCTCGCCTCCACTCATGTGCCAGAGCTTTCCCTGGGAAAACCCAAGGACGGGGATTAGGAGCTCTCTCTGCACCTAACGGTCAAGGACTGGGTCTGTTGTTTTTTAACAAAGACAGTTTTCCCCCCAACTGTGAGTTAAGTTTTGAGTTAAATACAGCATTAACCAAAACCAATACCTGTTTAAAACCCGGTCAAAGAAAAATACCACTCTCCTCTCAATTAATTAGGCTTTACTTGTGTAGCATCTGCAATGGCATTAACCTAATAGCTCTTCAGTTATCCACAGAACCTCACATAAAACACGCAAGTGTGTGTGTTAAGTTGAAAAAAAAAAAAAAGAACTTTTAGATCTTCATGCAAAAAAGCAAAGCAGAAAGCACAATCCCATTTTGTCCCCATTACAGCCAACACGGTGGGAAAGTTCTGACATTTTAATTTTCTCATAGGAACTGCCCCAACGGTTCAGACCAGGCTCCATTTAACCCAATATCCTGTCTCCATCAGGAGGCACCAGCAGCATCAAAAGAAGGAGCAAGAAACCCTGAAGACCAGGAATGACTTGCCCTTCAGGGGAGGTTTCTTCCTGACCCTGATGAGTTCAGAGTTGGCCTGTGCTCTGAAGCATGAGGATTTAAATCCTTAGCACACTCTGGGTGGTCTCATTGTCCATGTAAATGTTCAATCCTTTTTTGAAGGCAGCCGATCTCTCGGGTTCGCTGGCCTTTTTCTAAGGAGCGCAGTGCTGCTTGGCTCCTGGACCTGGACAGCAAGGCAGCAGCAGCAAAGGGGTTAATGTGACTCTCATTAAGAGGAGCCTATATCTGTGTATTTTAGAGGCAGGCAGCATGAGGAGGCCAGGGGGGAAAGTGCTGCCGGAGGAGCTGGGTTCTCTTTTTGTAACGGCTCCCAGCTGGCTGCATTGCAGTCGGGCCGGGGGGGGGGGGGGGTTTTTTTTTCTTCTTTCC